TTATAGGTGATAGATAGGGTCGATGTCTATACACCTAGTGATTCCTGACTGACCGAATGCAGACCAAAGGATGAAACACTTAAAGAAGATAAACCGAACATCATTTACACAATCACCTGCAATAATTGTAGTCAACACTGCATTGGACAAAGTGGTCGCCCACCCTCACCTTTGTCTACATGAACACCAATTGGCTATTAAACCTCACACCTGACATTTCATCACTCATCGCTCAATACAAGTGGATAACAAATATGCACATGAATTGAATTTTGACAGTGTAGAAATTTCGGATGGAGAGAGGAAATACAAAGAATATGATTAGAGAATTCCTAGAAGCTTGACATTCAGATGAATCAGTCAGCAACCAGTAGATGTATAGACAGGGACCCAGTCTATCAACCAATGAGAAAAATGATAGATGACAGAAGGGTCAGAGGTCCATCAGAGGAACAGCCAACAAGGAAATCTACACAGTCAGTCAATGACACAACAATCAAAGAAAATAACCAGTCACACAGGAAGCAGTTGGTCAGGACAAGCTACTGAATCATCAACGGAGAGATATTGACAGCTCACTTCATATTCGAGTTAGTTTTGATGATGCCATCTAGGAAGACGATGAAAGCTTCATGTTTAAACAACACAGCTGGTAGAACACAATACAATCAAGACCATCCATCTGAGCTGGAAAAATTCTCCACCATTTTAAATTATTCTTCGCTTACGTATTACGGATATCTGATGCCTAAAACACTAACTTTTAATCTGTATATGTTTTCGCTGCAAAATTCAAACTTCTTTTCCGCGCCTTTCTTGCTCCGTGTGACGTTACTTAATTTCACCGTGGTTTAAGATACTGAACGTTAATTTACACTTTTAATATGCTATTTTGTTTCCATGGTCATGACACTTTAAGAAAAGTGTGTTTAAATGGCTGAACTTTCACCTATGATCGTACTGTACGGTTCGAGTGAATATTCTTTCAACCCCATTGTCTTCTTCTCTTGGTATCATTTGAGTATCATGTTGAGAAGTCATTAAACTAAGGTTAATCATATCCTGTCGTAGCATTATATTATTCAGATATACATATTCCATTGAACAAAACATCAGTAATGTTGCTACTGTTTGGATGTTAACTTGAATTGGTTTTCCCAGTGATATCAGGTTACATACTACTTATATGTATTCCTATAAGTAGCACATACCGCTACCTGGGACGTTATAGACGCTATCACAGTGCAATAAAAAAATTGATTACTTTCATGATATACAACTACCATACAAGTTTCCCGCTGAAGGTTTACAAATGCTAAATGTTAACGGTAAAGTTCAATAAATGAAGTTTCTTATTTGACAATTATTTTTAGTGTAACATGCGTTTTATATCGGTACTTGTTGCATCCTGTCGTTGACTGGACCAAATTGCTTGGTCTCACAAGAAGTAGCTATCGTAACTCAGTAGTGCAGCGGATAACATACAGGCATTTAGAGCGACCGGTCTCGGGTTCGAGTCTTAGTGGGAATAACACCGCTCACTGGAAGGCAGTTGGGTCCATCTGACGTAACGCGTGTCTTAGATTCATTTCACTGCTAGCCACTATCCATCATCAATATGGTGTGCATATTGTTGAAATGGAAGTCAACCCACTGAAATCGATGATTTGCGTTTAGATTTTCAAATGATTCATTTACAGAGGTAAATTCATCTCATTTTTATACTGGATTGAATCGCTCGACCTCTGTTGGCAAACACGCTCTTATTCAGATGCCTCTATATTGTCTTAACAGCCATTATATTGTGACTTACTTGACAGGTAAAATTGGAATCCAGGACACGCGTTCCGTCCTATTTAAGAACTCACTGGTCAGCTGGATGAAAATGTGGTACAATGAGTAATCCCAATGGGACCCAAACCCACCACACCACACCTCACACGACACAGCCTCCACCATTAGGTCAGTAAGGCAAGATAACCTCCTGTTATGTAGCAAATATTAGTTATCATTTATTCGGACTTGTAATTACCCGTTGTTATATTGGATTAAATTACTCGAAATCCATATTAAATTTGTTTAACTGATATACATCACACACTGATACAGTATTATTACTTGATAACGTTTCCAGTATAAATTCTCATTACCCAATAATCATATCGAACTAAGTATTCCTTCTAGTTTCGATATTTCAGTTTTATAGTCCCACCACCCACCTGATATTCTTTGTTTCTATTGGTAGTAAAAACTTCCATCTCTGGTATAGGTGTTGCATCATTCCTATTACATGTGTTGGGTGTTGATTCGATGAACAAAGGTTCGGTATTCGAACCTCCTCTCTACCTAATTATATTGGATTCGGGAGTTCGTGAAGATTTAATGGTTTTCAATTGAGTATTCATCATAGTTGGAGGAACATTGAATGCCTGGAAGCACTCGGTGGCTGTTTCGTCCTGGTGTGGGACTCTTCAGCAGTGCGCACCCATGATCCCACCCCATCCCGCCAATGATCCGACTGATGACCTCCAGGTCCAGTGGCCAGCATGCTGCCATTGACCCAATGGGCCAGAATCAAATGATCCATATTGTCAACTCCTATCAGTTTGCGACATAGCGTGACCATCACCCAATGTCATCGTTAAGTATTTGTCCTCAAGGCAACTAGGTTTGCCCAACTGGTCATGACTTCTCATTGGAACTTCAGGAATCCCCTCTCTAATCTAGTCACCAACGAGCACTAGATGAATTGGATTCCGTCCTACTGGCTCAATGGTTGACCATGGAACCTGAAGGTCATGGGTTAGACCCGTGTCGAGATAGGGTGAGGTGATTGGTGCGCACTTTTGAGGAGTCCCATACCAGAACAAAACAGCTGTCCAGTGCTCCCAGGTATTCAGTGTTCTTCGAACTGATGTCAGTCCATGATGAATACCAATTTGAAGAATAATTATATTGGACCTGAGTACAGTGATTTTATCCGACCCTATTATGTGGTAGTGTACTAATGGATACATTGCAGTAGCAGAGTGCTTTTCAAGATTACTGATTTCGATCGGTAATTGGGATCTGTTATCACATATTTAGCCATACTCCTATCTTCCGCTGGTCTAACTGACCCCGATCAGCTAGTTTACGCTATGTAGTTGATCTCACAGTCATTACATGGAATTTGGTAGTTTAGATTATTTTGCCTGATTGGGTCTATCGGATCCTTGAGCCGGAAGGCTTATCTCTGAGTGAGTTTGTAGGTTTGAATGCTACCCTGTTCCAGCCTTGATGGAAATCTTACTTATATGGTTATGCAATAGAGGCTTTGAACTCCTTTCTACTCATTTTGTCGTTATTATTCGTACCAGTGTTACTGCTATTATCATGTCGTTTCTTAAGTGTTCATACAAATTTCTTAATAAATTGTAAAGGATAATTATCGACGCTTCTTTTATGTGTTTCAGTTCTTTGTTTATATCTTGCACTGACTAGTGAATTTGCTAGCCGCATTATTTTGACATTTGACTAAAGCCGCCTTAACTGGGATAAGATGAGATAATGTGAAGTGTAGATACTTATCAGAGTGTGTTACTTTCCCGTAGACGGTAGTATCGAAACCACCGTCTGTCCTTTGTCTTATCCTCCAATCCAATATAAGTAATTCTCTATTACAGAAGTGAAACTTGGACACTGTGGTAGATTATAATTCCATTTTAGTCTGTTTATTAGAACTGTCATACAGTGAAGCAACAGTATTATTTACTGGATAAAAACGTTTCATACACAACTTATGGTCCATATTCATACCAAGTAACTCGACAACTTTGAGACAGACTTTGTATAGTTCTAATCCTCTCTCCATCTCTCTCACTGCATATTTGGTGTTCATTCGACAAACGAAGATTCAGTCAGCAATCTCTCCCTTCACTCAACTAAGTTGGTTTTCAATACTGTCGCTCTATCCCGCCCTTTTGTGTGATTGTGTGTAATTGCATGCATAGCTATAGCCAAGACTTTTTCTACATTTCTTATCTCGCTGAGGTGCAGGCACATCCATTCGATGGGTGAGTCACAAATAGGATGAAAAACGCATCCTGAATTCCTCTGCTAGCCAGAATCAAGTATATTATCATCCAACAGAGGTCGATCAATTCGATATATGCATGTGCTATAGTTTATCAGATAAAGTCGTTATTGGAGCCACAGATCAGCCTTTATTTTTTGATATTTGCTTGACTTGGTGAAGGTTAAGATGCCAAGGGGGGGGTATAGTCATATTGGCATTCAGTTCTAATGTGTCACTGCATTCACTATCGTTATTACATACGTCTGTATTGCGTGTGCTCAGTCACTTCATGAAGCAAACTAGTTTCATGCATACAGAATGGAATCACAACATATTATCTATTTCCATTAGCAGGGAGTTAATCCTCCTTCATATTCTTCCCTGCTATACCTTACGCCTTTTATGTACAGATACATCTGTTCAAGTTACTACTGTTTACAGTAGCACACAAAGAATAGGTGAATAGAAAGAGAGTCATCTCAAAGCGGATAAAGTCGTGTGGGACAGTTACGATGATCATATTCAAGTTTTAGATGTCAAGAGTGAATACATCTGCGCCATTGTGACTGGTTCGCAACCATGTCACCAAGAGTCTTCAACTCTTGGTTCATTTCTTCAAGGAGACCTCAGCCAGGCACTAGTCTATATCTCTCAACAGCTAAGGACTTCGCTGACTGATGTCAGGTGTTGGTTTGGCCATCCTAAGCCCTTTTCCAACCTAATCCATCTTCTTCTAGCATGGTGGTAGTTTGGAACAAAAGACGACAACAATCAACAACTAGGTGAGTGCTCGTTAGTAATAAGTCTGATAGACATTCTATGTGGAACTGATGCAAACAGGATAGTTGAAGTTACTTATCGTAGTGCATCAAATCTAATCCATGCCTTATGAATCTATCTTGTTGAAAAGTGAATAATAAACTCTGTTTGTAGCATGACTTACTTGTTTTACACTTTGTTTTTATAGTCTTGAATATTCTATAAATATCAATAAACAATGGAAGAAACATTCTTGGTTGTAGCCGTTCACTTAATACGATATTCGTTTGATGCTTATCTTCAATATCGTGGGCTTCTTCATTTGTATGAACCATTATCAATTTCTTCGATAATTTTTTTGATTCAGTGGAGTAGTTGTACTGGAATCCTTCTCTTTTACACTATTATTGACAATAATATTAAGACTGTCATCAAAGTTTTCTTCATCCTCACCAACAGATACCACATCTTCTTGGTCATCTTCTCTATCGGCATCATCTTGTAGTATCACGTTGTTCTCTGTTCCTTCAGTATCACCAGCATATTTAATTAACACTTTTTCGAATAAATCGAATGAGGTGAAACTCTCATTTAACATGTACTGTAATGAATTCCCTGTCGATTTCTTAAGACAATATGGATGAAGAAAATGGACTTGTAACAGAAACAGTAAGCTTTATGCAAATATAAAGAATTGTAAGCAATTAGGCACCAAGATAATACTGGGTGATGATTGAAGGCGAAACGAAACTTTGAACTGCGGCAGGACTTGAACCAGTGACCACTGAGTTCCCGGCTTGATGCTTCACCAATCGAGCTATGATAGTGAATATGATGCTTCCCACCTCTCTAATTCAGTTACGTTTGGATTAGGATAAAAATTCCTGACTAGGCACACAGTGTGAATACAATCAAGTGGTAGTAACGTGTCAAGAATTCACATGGTAGTCGGGGAAAAACCCTCAGGGACTGGAGTGAAATAAGAATGTGGTGAGGAGTCGGACTTCGTAGTTTAGTTAGTAGAGCAATGGGCCGGTAAGCCGGTGATCGCTGGTTCGAATCCAGCTGCTGTCTAGTTTTTCATTCCACCTTCAATCATCACCCAGTATGGATACACATCTGCTATCTCAGATAGTCAAATGACAATTAAGATAATACTTCAAAATAGAATTAAACTAGTTAATTAGAAAAATCCCATGGGATAATCAACCAGAAGAAGCTGAAAGAATGTTAGTTGATTGAGTAGGACTTGCTGACTAGTGCCAACAGGTACGAAACCTAGGTTGGGGGGAAGGGGTTTCTACCGATTACCTCCAAGCAACCAATATCTGTCAAACAGCAATACAGTGCTGAGGCTGCTGGTTTGTTAGCCACATTGCAAAATTAATCAGTAAAATTCAGTTGACACTCAGGACCAGGCAACATCAAATTGGTTGCTCTCCAGTAGCCGATCAATGCAGCTATAAGAAACATTCAGTTTATATTGGGTCGTCATTGGGGTAGGTGCGGAATCACGCTCCTGTCCACACAAAGCAAGCAAAATATTGAGCCGCATCATCCTGGAGAGACTTAAGGATACACTGGATTCAACTGAATTACGACCGGAACAAGCTGGCTGACTGGATTCAGGAAAAACAAATCATGTGCGGACCAGATTGCAACACTACACTACGCATCATCACAGAACACAGTATGTAATGGCAGTCAACCCTCTATCTCAACTTCATCCACTTTGAAAAGGCCTTTGACAGCGTCGACTGACAAGTAATTTGCCAGTTGCTTCAGCACTACGGAATAACACAAACCTCTATCAGTCTCATTCAACAACTATATGAAGATGTCACATGCCAAGTAATTCACAATGGGAAGCTCAGTGTTGCTTTTGAAGTGAAGACAAGCAAGTGTAAGACAAGGCTGTCTACTATCACCCATGATATTCCTGATTGTGTTGTGGTCGACTGGACTGGATCATGCAACAAACAGTGAGGAGCTGTGAGAAGAGGGGGATACGCTGGACCGGGGAAAAGAACCTAGAAGATTCGGATTTCACCGATGACTTATGTCTGATGTCACACAAACTTGAAGATCTACAGGCGAAAACTAACAAGTTGGCAGGAGAGGCAGCGAAAACAGGACTTCGAGTGAACGTAGAGAAGACAGAGGTGATGAGGATACCCAACCAACACTACCACCACCACCACCAACAACAACAACAAGCTCCATTCACCATCAACGGTAGAAACTTAAAGGAAGTAGCCTCTTTAACCTATCTAGGCAAAGCAGCATCGTTTCAACTACAGGTGGCACAGGCGAGGACGTCAAAGCCGGGAGCGGAAAGATATTAAGACAGGCGTACATTAATCTGAAACCAGTGTTGAGATCTGCACTGCAATGCACTCAGCATACAGCGTGAACAACTTCCGGATTTTCAGCACCAATTCAGTCAAGTCAGTGCTTCTGTATGGTTCAGAAACTTGGCGCGTTACGAAAGGCATTTCCAACAAACTACAGACATTGATCGACAACTGCCTACGCTCACTCGTTACTGAAGCTCAGATGGATGGCCAGAATAATGAGAATAAGCAACAAGGAACTCTGGCTGCCAACAAACCAACCAAGAACCTGTCGCTCAAAAAATATGCACTGGAAGGAAGTAGAGAAGGACTGAATTGGCATACACTGAGAAGGCCGACTGGGGATATCATGCCCCAGGCCCTCGAGTGGAACCTAGATGGGAAGCGACGAGTTGGGCGTCCCAGCTGTGGATGATATGGAGGAGATGGTGTGAGGAAGAAATGAGAGCTTGTGGGCAGTGGTGAAGCCAGGTTCAAAAAATTACAGAGAACAGAGTGCACTGGAGATGTGCTACTGAAGCCCTATGTTCCATTAGGAACCCAAGGGACAAATAATAATAATAATAATAATATAATCTGGAGCTATGCGAATGTACATGTGTTGTCAGTGAATCCAAATACTGCCGATAAGAGGTAGAAAAATAATTAGAAAAAACCAAGTGTCGAATCAGTCTGTCATAACGACTTGTACATACTCAGTGTTTCCCCCTTTGAATAGAATTCTAGTTTCCAGACAGACAGATGGATAGATAGATAGACAGATAGGCAGACAGCCGCTGACATAACTTGTGAGACATATATCCATGCTCCTGAAGTTGGCGCTTGGAAACATACATGCAACTGAAGAATCATACACAGACAACGGTGATCAAACATATAGTTGTTAAACCCTCTTAATTGGAAGAGGAGAGAACTCGTAGTGTGCCCAACAATTTACAGTGCAATTTACACTACAACGCTAAGGCTGTTCTATTTACTAATTAGTGTACTAACCGACGTCAGTGTAATCCGTAGTCAGGTAGTATCGAGGCTTCCACGTAGTAGCCCATCTGCCAACCCAATATAACAACAGTAGATTAAAAGTAACAAACAACAACTGCTATCCATTGTACAGGAGGCGGCTGTAGTACCCCAGTGGTTTTCGCGTTTGAAGTGACCGGTGTCTGGTTTGAGTCCCAGTGAGAACAACATCGCTCACTAGGAGGCAGGTACATCCAGCTGACGAACCCTATATAGGACGAAACGCCAGTTCAGAATTCCACTTCTAACCACCGAAAAAACCAATATATTCGTATTATGCAGTTCAGTCTCATTCTTCTTTTAGATATGAGTAGGTGTGTGTTATCAACATTCTTATAGTGATTCATCGCGTCTCAGAAGTCAGTTGCATCTTATCAGAAGGTTAGTCCAAGAGGTGATATACATTGAACTGGACTATATGTTTGTCACTGGAACGTCATTCATATGGTCATTCATATAGATTGAACAGGTCTACCAGTAATCTCAAAGAAACATATGTCTTCTCAGCTTATATGAATCGGAACCACATATTTTTTCTCCTATTTTGATCTTCTGACAAACTATCCTGGAGTAGAAGAACACGTCTAACAAACAAAATCTAGAGTTTAAAAAAGAATATCAAGAGGAAAAAAGGCCGAACAGTTCAAATAGTTCATAGAAAGAAAAAAAAAGTAAGTCCATTCAAAACTATCCAGTCAGCTCAATGTATCTGCATCCCAGTGAGTGATGTTTTACCTACTTTTTATATACTTCAGGAGCCACTTCCGTCTAGCTCCAATCGCCACCTTTGTATATCTTTGCCAATAACTTCAGATTTCAGGCATTGTTAGTTTCTCAGTTTTTCCATAAATAGAAAAGGCTGCAGTAGAACAGAAGATGTATTTACAATATAAACGGCAACGTCAACAATATATACAAACTATTAGGTTGGCACATATTACCTTGGCATAGGTTATTTCCAGGCCTACCAGATTTAAATCCTGATTGGTTTTTCGTCTCTTCAACTAACCTAATACTTACACGTTGGTTCACGTGTTACTTCTTGAAATTTCGAAGCAAAGCGATTGGTTGAAAAAGGTTTCAGGCATATGAGCTTTCTTATGAAGATTCTGTCAAGCTTTCCACACACTAAAACACTTCTCCCTTGAAATAAAGTTTTATAGTAAGTTATGGCTTTCATATTAATGATAAATAGTGGTTAACAGTGGAATCCATACTATGCGTTTCGTCATATCTAGGACTCATCAGTTGCATGTACCTGCCTCCCGGTCAGTGATGTTATCCCCACTGGGACTCGAACTTGGGAGCGATCACTGCAAACATCAAAGCGTTATCCACTACACCACCGAGCCACGATAGCCATTTCTTGTGTGGTGGGTATATCTGATAGCATAATTGCTTGTGTTATACCGTCGTTGATTGGACAGAATTGATCGTTCTCTATTGGCATATGGGCTCCTGTGCAGACCCCTCGATATTAACTGTGTTTTCTTTCAGTTGTGGTAATGATGGATAGTGGGTAGCAGTGGAATCCAGGATGCAGATTTCATCCTATTTAGGACTCGTCAGCTGGATGTACCTGCTTCCCAGTGAGTGATGTCCAAACACAGATAATATCGAGGCATCCGCACAGAAGTCCATATGCCAATAGGGACCGATTAATCTGGTCCAATCAACGACAAGCAATTATACTAATCGTAGCTTTTGATTGACTAGTAACGTTTCCGTGACTCGTGACAAATGAGTCCTGAATACTCTTCTTCTGTATCTGCTCTGTAGCGTAGTCTGAGGTAGCTGAATTGGAGTTGGAAATCAGAGGAGTAATTTGCTGACATTTTGGAGAAAGCTATTTGATGAACAATCTTCTCCTCACTTTAAAAAGTGGATTGATAAGTATTTGTAGAAACATTTCCTATAATTTTAGATATCGAATTACAATGTTGTACGGGACCGATTTCTCGAAAATGCTTTAAGGTCACGCTAACCAATCGTGTACGTTTTATCGTCTCCATGGTATTTTTAACACTGAAATGTTTACACAAATTTGCCAACTTCAATGAATCAAGTTCACTCAGGCTTTTTTGAGCAGGCTGTGCTCTCATAATACTTCGATTCTGTTTGCCAACAAGCCCCCAGTTTTATCTCCAATTTGAAGCAGGGTAATCTAGGTGTAGCTGCTCTGAATTAAAAGGTACTTTGGTGTGCGATGAATCACCAGTCAACATCACAGTATTCTACCCTGATGTCTTACTTTTGACTAAATGATGCACTGTGACTGGCCTGTGAATTTGGATGGATTCGGAAAGTTCCAGTTGCCTGGTGGTTAGTGGATTTGATGTCTGAAGTGAAGCTGGCTTGCGAACAGTTCGGATGTCCAATTTCTCGTATGGACATAAATTGTCTTCGATGAAGTAATCCACTATCATGCAAAGCAACTACGCCAACTGATCCGTGTAGATTGGCATTCAACCATCTTGAGTATGTGTATAATTCTTGACGTTGGTGCTTAGACTTGCATTGGTACTCCTCAATAGCTTCTTGTGGACATTGATTATGAAGTCAATCAGTCAATCAATCAGTATCAACATACGACCAGGCATTACTGCATAACGGTTCGAGTTGTCACACCTCATATCAGTACATCAAGTAAAAATGTAGTGAGGTGGAGGATGAAGATAAGAGAATGCAGTCAAAAGCAATATAAAGTACGAGAAGAAGGAAAAGAGGAGTGACAAAGTGGTGAGATTCGGTATAGCGTTGTTAAGATGAAGATAATGTGTGTATACATCTGCACCACTGACATCGGTTCTCAGCAATGTGATCACCTAGAGTCTCCAACCACTGGTTCCTCTTGTCCTGCGGACCCAAACCATCTGGTCTGCATCGCCACACATGGCTCAAACCAACAGTCAGAGACTTGATATATTGGTGCCATGTTTTATTCTGACCACCTCGGGCCTTTTCCCAGCCTGAACCTACTTCAGCCAACATTGTGTGACGAGACAATCGGCGATTGGGCATACGTAATACGTGTCCCAACCATCTCAATCGATGAAGGTTCATAACCTCTTCAACTGATTTACCTCTTCTCCCTGAAACTCTACACCTGACTTCTGCATTACTCACGTGGTGAAGTATAGTCGTAGAAAGGCTGAATGGCACTAAACATGTTACATCATTTTGAAAACTTTTGACAGATACTTAATGATTTTCATCAATATAATCTGCCTGAATGTCTCCATCATTTACTATTTTGTGAAGGGTAGTGAAGGCGTTAATATGGTTCTCGTCTATTGATGAGACTTGATTCACACTATCAGGGCTTTTGAACTCATTTTCAGCTTCACTTTGTCCATCACTGAAGTATTTAGAAATAGTTTCTTTCAAAATCTGAGGGCTTAAGGATGTAGACTCTGCTTCGACGTCAATCAGAAATTGCTTGAATTTCTCAATAACCCAGAAGGGGTACGGTTTCTTATGATGATTTTGTTAACTCGTGTGTATACGATAACATTACTGACATTCGAACCCAAGTATCTACTACTTCAGACTTCAAAACGTCATCCAGTAGGCCAAAGTGTACGATGGTTGTCTCTTGTACAACAAGTATCAATTATTATTATTCCTTGATATTCCTGTGATTCTTCGTTGTTATACTCCATCGAACTGACTGACTTTTGTTTAGAGGTAGATAGTTGTAACTAATACCCAGTATACAAGAGATGGTTTTCGCGTCTCAGTTGGAAAACATCACCCTCTGAGATGCAGATATGTTCAGCTGACAAATGAGTCCCGAATAAGACGAAATGTGCGTCCTAGATTACTCTGCTAGCCAAAATCATGTAAATTATAATCATAAATATTAGGGCAATATCTAGGCATTCTCATGCCAGTTCATATGCCAACAGAGGTCGAACAGTCAGACACAGTATAACAACGTAGAATAACAAGAACTTGTATTGTACTCTCATTATATCCATCATTACCACAACTAAAAGAAAACACAGTTAATATCGAGGGGTCTGCACAGGAGCCCATATGCCAATAGAGAACGATCAATTCTGTCCAATCAACGACGGTATAACACAAGCAATTATGCTATCAGATATACCCACCACACAAGAAATGGCTATCGTGGCTCGGTGGTGTAGTGGATAACGCTTTGACGTTTACAGCGGTCGCTCCCAAGTTCGAGTCCCAGTGGGGACAACATCACTGACCGGGAGGCAGGTACATGCAACTGATGAGTCCTAGATATGACGAAACGCATAGTATGGATTCCACTGTTAACCACTATTCATCATTACTAAAAAATGAACTTACTTTTAAAATTAATGTTTCATTTATCTGAAATTCACTGTTCAATATTGTTGAGATTGTTTTATGGGGATCAGGGAAACCATATTGTGAAAAATATCGATATGGTTCATCTAATTTCCATAATGGTATAAAAAATGGTCCTTTGAATGGATTAAATAATTCATCACTATATGGTATCATTGACTCATTGTCATCTTCACGAATTTTTAATAAAACATCCACAAATTCATTCAATGTGACAATGATAAATTCACATTGAGCTAAATTTGAAATATTTATCAACATGAGTAGAATGAAGAGTAAATTTTGCATGATAACAATAATAGTGATTACTATTATTATTATTGTTATTAGTTGTATCAGCTGTATATTATGCCTCTTTATTAAACCGACATGTGTATTATCTATGATGATAAGCAGATGTAGGTTTACAACAAGAAAATTCAATATTATTGATTTTTTCTTATCGATTAGTATATTTTAAACAAGCAAGAAGCCTATGTGATTAGATGATGTTGAATAACTTCTCACTGCAGTTGGTTCTTGATTAAACTGCATAACGAATCGTACTACATGTTACCTTCAGTGTTGATTATTATGAAATTCTTTTCAAGAAGTTAGAAATCGAAATAACCAAGTGACTCTTCCTTTAACAAACAGACAAAACATGTGACTTAAGCATCCTGGGTTCGATCCCTGAAGGGAGAGGTTGTGGGTGCGTACTTCTGAGGGATTCCATACTAAGATGAAACAACTGTCCAGTTCTTCCAGGTTCCCAATATTCCCCCAGCTGATATTAATCTATGATGAATACCAACTTGAAATCAATAAGTCCCCACAAATTCAAAGTCAAAACACAGAATTTGTCTGAAATACGGAACTGTATTGATGAACAATAAATACTGAGATGTCTGTGATACTTTAACGTATTCAAGAGCAAACACCTGAAAATGCTGTGAGCAATATAGCTTCAATGTTTTGAAGAGCTTTGCATTTCTTGATATGCTTGTTAATCAGTATCAATACAAGTCTGCGAAACAGCGCCTTTCTTACTCAGATAGTCAAAAGTGTAATCAAAATGGTGCTTCACCTCTCTGATTCAGCTCCATTTGTATTGGGATAATGAATCTTGATCCAGCAGTCAGGCAGACAGGTGAACCCTTAGATGACTAAGGTGAAACTAAGATCTGGTCTGCAGCTGTACCTCGTTGCTCAGTTACACCAACAAACTGGTAATGAAGAGATCGTTGATGAAAATCCTACAGTGGCTCACATTTTCAACTCACCTTCAATCATCACGTAGTATGAATAACACAAGTCTACCAAACCACAGCTATCTCAGATGATGATACGTAGCGATAAAAGGCAGCCGATAGGGGAGTTGTTTTCAAGTCATGATCAAATCATGCTCACATCATGGTTTATGCATGCACTGACATGAGAACCTGATTGGAGGAATTCGACCTCATAGAAGGAATTGGATTGGTTCATTTATGGCTTCACTTTCTGAGAGTTTTGTTAATACATATATGTCATGTATTTGCCTAATAAGAGGTGTTGTTGTTCTTGCAGTCACAGGTGGTTTTTGTCTTCTGGTTTTTTAGCTGCTCAGTGAAGCAGAAGGTACTGAGGGAGGTCAGTCGTAAAAGTATTCGGTTGAGGTGTCTATTGAGTCTCAGTATTCGTTATACCCACGCACGCAACTCCACGCGTTCACAACAGCTGGATGAACTGATAATTCAAAAGTAGTAATTGATGTTCTCAAAAACGGTGAATAAAGGGATATCTCTGACGATCAAAAACAAGTTTATGTGCAGCAGAAGATTTTAAGGGCATGCAAAATAGGTAACTTTTTGTCTAGTTCTTACGAAGAAGGACAATTGTGTAACTTCTGACATTTCTTATTTGATTATACTGTAAAGAATTTCTTTTCTCGTAAACCGGAGATTTCTTTGTCACATTATTACGCTGTAGTCTCGTTTTACCGAATAGTTTTATCCGACAATCTCCCTTTTCTTGCCGTATGTGTGTCTGTAGGGAAGTTGAATAAGTAATTGACAAAATACAATCCTTGTCACTCGGTCGTTTTCGGGTTTCACGTTGCTACATATATGAATTCTCAAGTTGGTATGCATTATGAACTGAAATCAATTAGAGGGACTTGGGAGCACTAGACAGCTGTTCCTTCCTTACATCGGACTCCTTAGTAGTGCTCATCTACGACCCCGTCAGGAGTCAAGCACAGGACTTTCAGGTACAGCAGCCGCCACAATGCCACTGAGACACTGGGTTGGAATCCGATGATCCATATTTCCAACTTCTGACAGTTGATGACATGGCGTGGTCATCACCCAGTGACATCGTTGAGCATGTGTCCTCACGTCCACCAGGCTTGAATTCTTATGTACAGCTCTCCATGCATGTCTAGGTGGATATTTAAAAGGTGGATTCTTTGGAACAAAGCCGTAAAACTTGGAGTAAGTTGAAGAGATTAGCATAAAAAACAAGCAGTTAGTTAATTGGTTTTCAGCATCATCATCATCATCATAATCGGCGGCAGCAGTAGGTTTCCATGTTAAGATATGAAATACGGAAATGCTCATTTTACCCCGGTAGTTACTGACTCAGAGGAGAACCTCAAAGAAAAAAGATTGATTGCGTGAAGAAATATGTAACTTTTCAATTTGGTCTTTGTCTTCGGCTCTACATTAATATACCTAAAGGTTTAACATTCAATCAAATGGTGGTCAGTGGTTGATACACAATAATCATAGTGATTTTAAGCAGGTCATAAAGATGATAAGTTTGACAGATCAAGGTGCAAATAACCAGTGGAAATAGGTTGTTATTAGGCGAAATGTAGACTAACTGGTTAGGTAAATGGAGTGTTTTTTACCGAATGGTCAGTTCTAAACAACAAGTAATTAAGTAAGAATAAGAAAGGACATAAATATTGATAGAATAAGAGGGTGAAGATGTGTACAAAGTAACATTAAGAGTTACATCATGTTGACGTTCATGGTAATGTAGATCATTATTGAGTAAATTTCTTTCCAATACCATGATCAGGTTTGTGAAGTTGGATTGCGATCACCTCTTCTGTGTAAAGTAAGAGAATGCGCAGTTCATATGGTAAGTTAATTAGCATACGATGGATGATTTTGATTGCATTTCAAGTATCCACTTGATGTCCAGTGCCAACTAAGTGTGTAAGTATGGAGCTGCTTATTGCTCTGGTTTGACCTTTTCTCAACCATGATGGGTTGGGCTCAGAAATTCCACGATAGCCCTACCTCATTGCACGCCCAATGTAACTAGCTCCACAGGACCAGTTGAACTGACAAATGCACATGGAGCTGGCAGAATCAGCCAGTCTGTTTTCATTTCTTGCATGCATGTCTTCTCCTAATCGATTAGTTAGTGGCTTAATGGCAATGTGTCCGACGCGTGACCTGACGGTTCTGCTTTACATCCCTCGCGAGGTTGTCAGTACACACTGCTAAGACGTCTCAAGCAGGGGCGAAAAAGTTACCAAATGCTACAATCTTTTCAATGGTTCTCCAATTGATTTCACATCGCGATGAATACTACATTGAAAGCAATAAATCAGTCCTTTAAACCACCATCAAGATATTTTCCCGTGTTATAAAAATAAGTTATGGGGATATTCTTTCCATAGTTGTTCGTACTTCGTAGTTTAGGCGATAAAAAGGTGAAGGGAATCCTCGGAATATCAGTTCATCTCTTCCAAATCTTGTTCCAGAAGAAGGCATGGAATGAAACCACACTTAATTATGTCTTGAATTTCGTTTGACTACTGAGTTCATGATAAGTAGATGTACAATAAGGGAAAATAGATGCATGTTATTCAGTGCCAACCTCCATATCAAATTCAGTATTTTACAGTGTTCTTAAAAGTGAAATAGAAGGTTCCGTTGGCCAACACTTTCATCACCTATTTTACCAATTCATGTAGATTTCCTTATTAGTTATCCCTCTGATAGACCTCTGACCCTTCTGTCGTCTATCATTTTTCTCATTGGTTGATAGACTGGGTCCCTGTCTATACATCTACTGGTTGCTGACTGATTCATCTGAATGTCAAGCTTCTAGGAATTCTCTAATCATATTCTTTGTATTTCCTCTCTCCATCCGAAATTTCTACACTGTCAAAATTCAATTCATGTGCATATTTGTTATCCACTTGTATTGAGCGATGAGTGATGAAATGTCAGGTGTGAGGTTTAATAGCCAATTGGTGTTCATGTAGACAAAGGTGAGGGTGGGCGACCACTTTGTCCAATGCAGTGTTGACTACAATTATTGCAGGTGATTGTGTAGATGATGTTCGGTTTGTCTACTTTGGTTAATGTATCCTATGGTCAGTCTACATAATAGTGTTTAGAGGGAATTTGTTGGTTTATGAGCCACACAAATTCCAAGTGATCTCAGTAATCTTGTTGTGATTTCTGATACATTCTTTATGTATAGTGGGATGATGTGCTTGTTGGTTTCTGTCGACGACTTCATAGTTGATGTTATACGGGATAGGCGTCTTCCGATAAAGTTTCCTGGGTACCGATTCTTTTTTAGAATGGACATCAAGTAATTTTCTTCGTTTCTCCGTGAAGTTATTGTACCGCAGTGTGTTCGCGTTCTTTTGCATGGAGCCTGCAAGCAACTGGTCTTGTGTGTTGTTGGGTTCTTGATTCTGTAGTTGAGGATTTGATCAGTATGTGTTGGCTTCCCATGTACTTGGGTTTCCAATTTTACAGCATTTGTTCTACTGACTGAAACATCCAGTAATGACACTTGGTTATTTGACTCCTTCTTCATTGTGAATTTGAGATCCTTGAAAACGTTGTTGATTAAACTGTGAGGGTTTTCTATATCATCTTTTTCAATGATGACAAAAGTATCGTCCACATGGCGAATCCAAATTTTTAGTTTAATCACAGGTAAATTGAATCTCGTCTGGCTAACTAGTTCACCAGTTACTAGCCGGCACTAAGCCCGGATAAAGAGGGAAGGTTGGGCATAGGGCTAGCAACCCTACTCTGTAAAGTCAATCCAATCGCTAAAGAAACTTCAAAGCACAAAGAAATTGTTAAAAATAGAAACAAACTTATTCCTCGCTGGAATCAGAAGAACGAAATGGCGCCGGTTGGTAAAAGACAATTGGCCGATGTGTCTTCCCTTGATGAATGCTGGAGTAAGGATGTGGACATTTCATGTCCACACCATGTATGAACCTACCAAGTCTGTCCAGATTTCAAAAGAGATGAGAAGGCATAGCATAGAAGTACTAGGAATCTGCGAAAGCAGGTGGAATGGAAGTGGACTCTCCAAACTGCCAGTTGCTGAGTTGATAAACTACTCCGGTATTGTCACCCACACGACAACCACAAGCACACTGAGTTCTCCAGTGGCTATCATGATGTCGCCAAGTGCATCGAAGGCTCTCATGCAGTGGGAACCAGTCTCATCCATGATCAGGATGATGAGAGCAAGATTCAACCCGAAAGGAAGAAAGTCACAATCATTCAGTGCTATGCTATGCACCTACAAATATTGAAGATCAAGAGAAGAAGGAAGAATTCCACAGACAACTGCAATCAGTAAGTATGGGACAAGACACCGCCCCAGTTGGTGACATCGAAACTCTAATGGGTGGGGTGACATGAATGACAAACTGGGAGCGGACAACACAGGAAGAGAAGTGATCATGGGTCGAGAAGCACTCGGTGAAATGATTAAGAATGGAGAACTGTTTGCAAATTTCTGCACATTCAACGATTCGCTGATGTCAGTCAGTGTGTACAAACATACGCGCCTGACCCTCGAGTGGAGTCGAAAGGGGAAACAACGAGTTGAGCGTCTGAGGGTTACATGGAGGAGATCGTATGAGGAAGGAATGAAGGCTTGTGGGCAGTCATGGAGCGAGATTGAAAAGACTTCAGAGAATAGACTGCAATGGAGGCGTGCTACTGAAGCACTATGTTCCACTAAGAATCTAAGGGAAAAATAATAATAATAATAATAACACAGGTAAACTGATGACTTCCAGTTTAAGTATCATTGGTTTCGCAATTAGTTAGGGTATCATTGATGTCATTGAAGTTCCTTTCATCTTTCTGTTTATCTTGCCATAAAGTTGGAAGTGTGTTATCAAACAAAAATCAATGAGTCCCATCACATGTGAATATCTCAATTTTGTTCGTTCTGAATGGCTTGTGTCTTTAAATAACAGGAGGGATATAGATTCTTGTTTGTGAATTGATAGAGAGTTTGCATGATTGAATAAGGCATTCCAATCTTCTTGTAAGTTCTCTGAATATGTTGTAGGTTGCAGTTGCCGGAAGTGGGACTGTTGGTAGTAGACGAATGTGCTATTTGTGTGGTTTTGGTCTGACATCAAACCAAGGAAGGACATGTCCATTCGATTTTACTCACCACTTTTCTTGCTCTACTTTTTCAAGGTTTCATTCATCTACTTGTCAAGATCTTACGTCCAGGTAGGTTCAAGTTATCGATACACAATTTTATCTTTCAGTTGATCCTCTGCAATCTTGATGTGATCTTCCTTGTCCATGAACACAATGGAGAGTCCTTCGCTAGCTGGAATTATAATGATATTTTTCCTAATTTTCACTCTTTCCAACTATTCAAATGGTATACTATCTTTTACAAGAAGAAGTGTGGGTCGTCAAGTAAGACTATGTAAATATACATTGGATGAAAGCGTTAATTTAATACTGTTTTCCAAAACACACACTTGAGTAGGCTTGTCGAAAAGTGGCTTGAAAGCCCAATATGACGTTCCGACCATATCATGAGTGCTACAGTTTCGATGATATACACTGTCAATCTCCATCGTTGATTGGAAGGAACTGACTGTAGACTCCTTTTCAAATGCGTAGATATTACCGGTGTTTTCAATTCTTGGCACCACTGATGGATAATGACTGGTGGTGGAATATAGAAGGTATGTTCCATCCATTTCGGGACGTAGATGAACATGCCTTTCAGTGAGTGATGTTGTTCCCAATCAAACTTGAACCTAGGATGGATCGGTTGAAGAGTCAGAGCTGACAACTGCTACACAGGAAGAAGGTATATGCATACTGGGCCTGATTGCTAGCGATTATGCATCATTAGTATTATAATTTGCACATTTCGAATATTCAAGCATGACTTTGTATATCCACCGGCATCTACTGCAAAGTTTTCTAATGACTGTTTGTTGGAAATCATAGACAGACACTGTCACAACACGCTGTGGTTGACGGCGTCAAATGTCGCCTTCCGGCCAAGAAATATGGTAGTCGTTGGTCACGGGTAGACACACCTGTGTTTCTGAACCTGTGGCAGGGCGAAACTCTGATCGATGCCTTGTCAACCAGGTCTGGAACGTGCCTGGTTTTCTCGAGTTTGCTGTTCTTGAGCTGCAGTTAGGCGTCGCATAACTACAGACCTTAGAATCTTGGGAAAGATGTAAGTCAGGCTAATTCTCGTGTGGCTGTCACAAGATTTATCCGCCTTCTTATAAACTGGTATGATCAGAAAACTAGATCAGTGTGACAGCACTGTCTCTGATTCCCATACACCACCTAGTACCTCCGTCACTCTCATCAGCGATTTCTTACCCCCATCCTTAAAACATCTAGGTGGAAAACTGTCAGGTCCTGCAGATTTCCTACGCTTTACGTTCGATACAGGTTCCTCAACTTCGAGGAGGGTTGGAGGACTGACATCTAGATCCCGTTCACGTTAAGGCTGTATGTTGAGAAACCTAAGTGTTGTCGAACGCTAGCTGAACATCGCTTCAAAGTGTTCTGACCAACATTCTACCCGCCTCTCCAGGGAGGTTAGCAGACCTGAATTTTCAGCGTCTTGCTTGATTCACGAGAACCGTTTAGGGCTGAATAGTATCCCAAAAAACTGACTTCAGAATGTAATTCGCGTAACTAAGAAGTTACGCTCTAAATGTTTCGACAAGTTTAAATTGTTTGAGATGATAAAGGCGAAGAATTCGCTGGATTTAGAAGGCCGAGAGAAACAGTGAAACCAAGTACTCACCTGATTTCCGGTAATAAATAGGAATACTAGAGTAAATATGAATTGTAGGCGTACAATGCTCATGACGGAACAGGCTTCATGAAGATAGGGCAACTTAAATAAGTTTGTAAAGCACTAAGCTGGAAGCTAACTTCAATGGTTGTATTATTGAAACAAAGCGCCCTCTATCTTGAAGAAACGTTGCTGAGTTTGCTTAGTCATTGAATACCGACGAACCACTGACCTTCCATAGGTGTCGCAAAAGTATGAAGATTATAAAGCTAATTTTTAATTATGACAATTATTTCTGAAACATTAAATCTCACGACAATCAACACATTCTTATGTAAGGTAAAAATGAATTTTCATCTGCAAAAGTGTTGTATACCAGGATATTCAGTCATTTCTTTCAAGCGTTTCCTTAAATGAAAAAAAACAAAACAAGGTACTTTATTGACCTTCATAAATTTGACACCGAAGACTGAGGAAGAATTCACAGTCATAAGCTAAGTGATCTCTACTGGACTAAGTAACAAGTTGCATATTTCCACCTTTATTATTTGGCAATTAGTGATTATATTTCTGTGAAAAATACGCTTATTGCAACACATTCACAATCTAAGGAGCATTATCCAATGTAATCAGTAATACAAGATTAACTTTGATAGTTCAATTTTCTACAAGTGGTGAAAATAATTCTCAGTGAATGTTTCAGTATACTGGGCAGTGTGAATAAAAAAAAAGGTCGAAATAGTGAAGCATGAGAATGAGAAGAGCATATTCCGATAATCAGTGGTTAACGTTTTCACTTTAATGAACCTTTGAAAAGTGAAATCTTTTAAGGGGCTAAGTGACTACAAATTTACATGTATGATTTCGTTAATGTTCATGGATTGATAAGTCCTTTAACATAGGCAACCTGAATTTTCATCAGCTATGACAAACATTGACAAAGAGGTCATGCTGATGTTTGCACCATTTTTCATAACCTAGACTTTTTAGAGTGGATTAACCTTCATTCAGTTTCATGTAATATTACCGACTGAGAAACACATACTTTATTAATTGACTCATACTGGAACATTAGGGTAGAAAACGATCAAAGCAGATACTCACCACTCAGTTTTCTAACCATAAATTCACTTATTTCTTTAGAGACTGAAAGAAGGAGGAGAAACGTTATTTAACTCAAGTACTGTAACAAATTAAGATGGTTCAGCATTCACCTAATAATACCCAAGGATGTGCTGGATTCAAAATTACGACCAGGACAGGCTGGTTGGATTCAGGAAGTAGAAATCAAATCGCAGTGCTAAGCTACGCATCATCATAGAACAGAGTGTAGAATGACAGTCGACTGGATCTCTACCTGAACTTCATCGATTTTGAAAAGACGTTCTACAGCGTTGACCGAGAAGTAATTTGGCAGTTGCTTCGACACTACGGAATACCATAAACCTCTATCAACCTCATTAAACAGCTACATGAAGACGCCTCATGCCAAGTGATTCACAAAGGGAAGCTCAGTGATGCTTTTGAAGTGAAGGCAAGCAGGGGTAAGACCTTGTTGTCGCCTACTATCTCTGATGATCTTCCTGATTGTGGTCGACTGGATCATGCGGCAAACCATGAGGAGTGAGAAGAGGGGGATACGCAACCTGGACCAGTCAAAAGTTCCTCAGAGATTTGGATTTTGCTGATGACTTGTGGCTAATGTCACACAAACTCGAAGATCTACAGCTGAAAACTAACAAGTTGACAGAAGAGACAGGGATGGGCAGGGCAGCGAAGGTGGAACTTCAAATGAATGTGGAGAAAACAGAGGTGATGAAGATACCCAACCACTGCTGCCACCACCACCAACAACAACAAGCTCCAATCACCATCAATGGGAGAAACTTAAAGGAAGTAGCCCCTTTCACCTACCTAGCAGGCAGCATCCTCTCAACTACAGGCAACGCCACAGGCACAGACGAGGAAGTCAAGGCCAACCTGGATCGGAAAGATAGCAAGACAGGCGTTCATTAACCTGAAACCAGTGTCGAGATCTTCTGCACTGCACTACACAACACTACACTCAGCATACAGCGTGAACAACATCCGGATTTTCAACACTAATTCAGTCAAGTAAGTCAGTGCTTCTATGTGATGATGGTTGAGAGACTTGGCGCATTACGAAAAGCATTTCCAACAAACTACACATATTCATCAACAACTGCCACCTACACTGGCTCCTTACTGAAGCTCACATGGATTGCCAGAAAGGATAAGCAAGAAGGAACTCTGGTTGGTTGGCCACGAACCAACGAAGCAAGAAGCAGCTATCGCTCAACAAATATACAGTTGAAGGAAGTGTAGATGTATTGAATTGGCATACAATGAGAAGACGATTGTGGGACATCACGTGTCAGGCACTTGAGTGGAAGCTAGATGGGAAACGGCGAGTTGGACATCCGAGGTGAGGTTGATATGGAGGAGATCGTGTGATGAGGAAATGAGAGCTTCTAGGTAGTCGTGGAGACAGGTTGAAAGATTGCAAAGAAGAGAGTGGAATGGAGATGTGCTACTGAAGCCCTATGTTCCACTGGGAACACAAGGGACAAATAATAATAATAATCAGTATTCGTCTAATACTTTGGAACTGTTTGGATTTCATGCAAGGAGAAGTGAACATAATATCTCTTTTTATGATTTCTAACATGGAGATGAATGTTTTTTATCTTTTTGAGAGAGTCAGTGTGATGCACAAAAACTGTTCTAGTTCTCAAGTAACTGATATTGAGAGCCAGTTCCAGTCTACAATGCTTTCCTTTGAAGTCTCTCTTGAAAGAAGCAATATCGAGATGTGCTGTGAACATTCAACTGTGCTGCACTTTAGGACTTTATATTGTAAAGTGCTAAACAGTTCGATCTTTTAAAGTCATTACTTGTAATCGTGGTGAGCACAGGTTATGTTCTTAAATATTCAACTCACATTTGACTTGGTTGTAAAAATCAATACTTTCGTAAAATAGATCCAGTTTTTCATCCAACTCTGATAGATCTATAAGAATAATAAGATATATCAATAAATTTGAGATAACCCCCCAACTCCTTCCTAACTAACACTCACTATCTCCCTCCTTAATACACTCACATTACCTACTAATTCTTCTGTTGGAACCAAACCCACGCGACCATTCGCGCAATTCCCAAATACTCTTCTTTCCTTCTTATTTCTCTTTTTCACCCCTCCTCTTCTTCCCCTTCCCTTTCCGTTTTCTCTTTCCTTATCATTATTCTTTCTTCTCTCTTCATTCTTTTACCACCACCTTACTATTCTCTTTCAGGTACCTACACAGACAGGAGTCACGGCAGTTCCCTAAACTTCCCAGCAATCCGTAGCTCCGCAATCACTCTACAAATTACAACTTACTAACCCACAAAACATCCACCTCACTGATGCTAAAAGCAAGAAAGCAGAGGGGGTTTCCTCATCCACTGCAGGAGTGAACCAAGCAACTCGAACAAGCCCTAAGAACTAGACGCGAGATATCAGAAACCACCAGTTTTCTACTCTCGCACTATCAATATTGCATATTGGATATTGGAAGCATCTCACTGTTGCTGGAAGAAGCTGGTTAACCATCATTAGAGGCTAAATGGTTCTGTATATTTTCAAGTGCATGAAAATGCTCAGAGAAACTACCATTTGATGGTGTGATAGTAGCAGACTTGTCAACATCGGATTCACTAGATGGATACCAGTGTTTACATTATTCACCAACAGCTATACTTGTCAACTTCATCAAGCAGGAATCATGACGCTCGCAAATCTTTACCAACGAGGAATTCTTTCTAAGAAACATTTCATATGTGGACAGTTCATACCTTGATAGTTCGTTTTGTCAATGAAAACTCTAAAGTTTTCTTAACCACCAACCAATTCCATAATGTTGTAACGTTTTATCTATTTATTCTATCTGCTTCTTGAAACTGTCAATGTTCCAAAGTGAAACAACCTTGTTCAAGAACTTCTCGATTCTACACTGCTGCAACTGTTCAAATGATGAGCATCACTCCATTGGTTCTAAACGTATACGGAGAATAGCTACTGAAATGATTTCACAAGTGATTGTCACTTCCTCAACCAAGACATAACTTCTACGTCGTGTACTTATAGATTATTTACCCACATAATTCATCACATCACAAATATGGAATGTGAGTAAGAAAATACCTTTGTCTTGATTATCCGGTCGGTACGGATCACAGTCATGATCCCGTTGTGGCTTCTCCATTACTTCAATGTGAAAGGAAAGCATGACAATTACTGTGAGATAGTCAAATGTGCAATACTGAATGCAATGTAAACTTCAAATTGTATTTTTTGTGAAATAATATCGCTCTAAGTAACCTATTATTATTCTTAAATGTGTAATTAAAACTTGTGGCAATCCATTTATAGATGCTGAATGCTTAAGGAGTATTACGATGCTGCTAAGGATAGGAAAGTCATCGAAATTGTCAGCAGAAATATTTCTTCTTGACTAACAGAAGTTAATCCTTGTACAACACTATATACACGAAACGCATAGTATCTGTATTGCCTAAAGCGTCACTGCTCTCCAATTTTATCAGCTGTGGAATGTTGTTTAGTATGAATTGTATCAGGTTCAGTAAAGTGTCAGCACTGAAAAATTACTATGATTTAATTTTATTCAGCGAATTATACATCCCTGATGAACACTGAGAATTTTATTCTTCTTGATGATTTTCACGACAGAACAACCTTATTCATGGTTCAATAATGGATTATATATCAAAGATATTTCACAGAACACAAATCACTTGCCTCGAGCAAAATTCGAATCAGATTAAAAAAAATACTTCATGCTTACTGTCAAGTCGTTGCTTTTCACCATCGAAGCACGCAAAAAATCTTTCAGCTTCCATCTTAAAAAAACCTTAGAAAAAGGTATATACTACGGGTTAATTCGAGTACACCACATACTTCCAATCTTAACATAAGGAAATAGATATGCACCATATTTGATGCATACAAATAGGCACAAAATACCATCAACCTCGCCTAGTTAACTAGTTCACCAGTTACTAAACAGTCCTAAGCCCGGATAAAGAGGGAAGGTTGAGCATGGGGCCAGCAACCCTACCCCTAAAAACCAATCCAATCGCTAAAGAAACTTCAAATCACAAAGAAAGTATAAAAAATAAGAATAAACTTATTCCTCGCTGAAATTGGGGAGACGGAATGAAGCCGCTTGCTGAAAGACCTCGGGAAGCTAATTGGCCAATGTGTCTTCTCTTCTTTCGATGAAAGCAAAAGTAAACATTGTGACATAGAATATTCAAACAATGTTTGAACCTAGCAAGCTGCTCAGATTGCCAAAGAGATGAGAGGGTACTGCACAGACTTACTGTGAATCTGCAAAAGCAGATGGAATAGAAGTGGACTCTCCTAATTGTCAACTAGAGAGCAGTCAATAATCTACTCCGATATTGTCACCCACACGACAACCACAAGCACACTGAGTTCTGTTCTGGAGTGGGTATCATGACGTCCTCAACAGCGATGAGGGCTCTCATGCAATGCGAGCCAATCTCCTCCTGCAGGATCATGACAGCAAGGTTCAACTCGAAAGGTAGGAGAGTCAAAATCATACAATGCTACGCTACACACCTACAAATAATGCAGATGAAGAGAAGAAGGAGAAATTCTACAGACAACTGCCAGTTGGCTAAATCGAAATTCTAATGGGTGGAGTGACATGAATGACAAACTGGGAACAGACAACCCAGGAAGAGAACTCATCATGGGTCGAGAAGCACTCGGTGAAATGAACAAAAGTGGAGAACTGTTTGTTGATTAGAGGCGAGGCAGTGTGTACAAGCGCAAGGATATTCACAAAGCAAGCGATAAGGATTTCACCGGATGGACACGCTTAAAATCAGACCGACTTCATCTCAATGTGAAGAAAGTGGAGACGCAGCCAACTGGACACAAGATCAGATCAAGAAGAGGAGCAAATGTAGGTTCACACCAGTCACTATCCAGTGAAAGGTACCTTCCTAATCAAGTTGATAGCCTTTAAAGACTTTGGTGATAGACCATAGTTCAAGTTCAAAACCCAGAGCAGAAACTGAAGGATGAAATTACAAAGGGCATCTTCACGTCACCAGCCATCAGGAAAGAATGCGAGATGTTGAGCAACATCCCCAAAGAAACCTGTGAGTAAGAACACTGGAACTCTTTGAAAGAGATGTGGAAAGAAACTTGCATAACGGGAGAAGGAGTGGATCTCGACGGACACATTGAAGCTGATCGAGGAGGGAGAGGAAGATGGTGAAGCAGAAGATGAACCAGTGCAATGCAGGGATGCACAACGAAAAGAGGTGCTGAATACAACCTATAAAAGAAACCACATTGGACAAAGAAGTGAAGAAGAGTGCGCGCAAATACAAAAGACACTTTTACAACACACTGTCAGGTGAGTTAGATCAGGCTGCTAGCAGGAGAGACTTTACAACATCATATCAAGTAACCAGGTTACTATCTGGGAGGAGATCAAAGCAGATGAAACCGATAAGAGATAGCGAAGGAAGCCTAGTTACTAAAGAGGAGAAACAAATGAGGCGATGGGCTGACCACTTCTAAAAACTCTCGAATCGACCACCAACACCAACACCACTACCACTACCACTACCACCTGCAACTCATCCGGAAATACCACCGGCAGACCAGCCACAGAATTATCAGTAAACACAAGCCCTCCGACAAGAGTAGAAGTGAAGTCCTCAACGCCATAAAGCCATTGAAAGCCGTGAAAGCAGTAGGACCAGATATAATTCCTCAAGAAGCACTGAAGACAGACTCAGAGACAACAGTGGACGTGCTCACACCACACCACTACTGCAGGAGGTTTGGAAAGAAGGAAGGGAATGTACCTGTCGAGTGGAAGAAGCGATATCTTGTCAAATTCCCAGAGAAGGCAGACCTAAGTCTTTGCAAGGACTGGAGAGGAATCATGCTGCTGTCCCTGTCTACCCCAAGAAAAATATTGCGCCGCATCATTCTGGAGAGACTTAGATGTGATCTCGATTCAATGTTACTATCGGGACAGTTTGGCTGATTTCGGGAGAAACAAATCATGTGTGGATCAAATTGCCACGCTACGCTACGCATCATCATAGAACAGAGCACACAATGCCAGTCAACTGGATCTCTGCCTCAACTTCATCGACTTTGAAGAGCCTTCAGCAGCGTCGAACGAGAAGTAATATGGCAGTTGCTTGAACACTACAGTTTTAGTACCACAAATCTTTATGAACCTCATGCAATAGCAGCTTTATGCTATATGATGGGGCTACACGCCAAGTAATCCACAATGGAAAGCTGAGTGATGGCTTTGTAGTGGAGACAGGAGACAGGAGTAAGACAAGGTTGTCGCCTACTATCACCGATGACCTTCCTGATTGTGGTCGACTGGATCATGCGACAAAGTGTGAGGAACGAGAAGATGGGCATACGCTGTTTGACCGATGAAAAGACCCTAGAAGATTTGAATTTCGCTGATGATGATTTATATCTAATGTCTTATGTTGCACAATCTGGATGATCTAAAGGCAAACACCAGCAAGTTGACAGAGGAGGCAAGGCAGGGCAGGGCAGGGCAGGGCAGGGCAGGGCAGGGCAGGGCAGGGCAAGGCAAGGCAGATAAGACAGGACTTCCTTCATGTGAAGGTAGAGAAGACAGAGGTGATGAAGATATCCGACCAACAAAAAAACAAGCAGCAATCAGGTCAATGGGAGAAACCTCAACGAGGTAGTCTCTTTTTCCTAACTACCTACCTAGGCAGCATCATCTTAGGTACAGGCGGCACACGCATAGATGAGGACAGCAAAGTCGGGATCGGAAAGACAGCTAGACACGTCTTCATTGATCTGAAATCAGTGTGGAGATCTACTGCATTGCACTGCACCGCACCGCACTGCAGTGCACTCAGCATAAAGCGTGAACAACATTCAGATTTTCAACACCAAGTCAGTGCTTCTATGTGATGATGGTTGAGAGACTTGGCGCGCTTCGAAAAGCATTTCTAGTAAACTGCAGACACCTTACATGAACAGCTGCCGTCTACGTTTGCTGCATACTGAAAATCAGATGGCCAGAAAGAATAGGCAAGTGAGAACTCTGGCCTGCCAACGAACCAACCAACCAACCAACCAAGAACCCATCGTTCAACAAATATGCAGAATAAAGTGGAGATGGATTGAATTGGCATACACTGAGAAGACCGATTGTGGGGCATCACGCATCAGACCAGGCCATCGAGTGTAATCCAAAGGCGAAACGAAGAGTTGAGCCCTCTAGGGTGACTGGCATAGAGGAGATGGTTTGAGGAAGAAATGAAAGCTCCTAGGCAGTCGTGGAGCCAGGTTGAGAAGACTACAGAGGAGAGAGTGGAGTGGTGACGTGCTACCGAAGCCCTATGTTCGACTAGGAACCCAAGGGACAAATAACAATATAATTATAGAATGCCATTATTTATTGTAAGAAATTGCAACTCACCATATTTGTTAAGTATACCGTTAATTTCTTTCTTAGCTCCTGAGAAAGTCAAATGAAGGTGAATTTGAAAGTAATAAGTTTGTCAACTTCAAAAGGGTCTCGAGTAGTAACTACAGAAAAAGATGATGAAAATTCAACTGCGAACCAATCCACTGTACTTTGTGTTGTAGGTTTATAAGTCATAATGATTGCTTTTATTGTCCTCAAGATATCGTAGTGTGGAAAATGGAGTCTGCTGACTCGTTGTCTTGAGAAGAATGGTTGTTAGGAGAGTGAAATTGTAACAAATCCATAGAACCAGCAAAAATGGTCTAGCATTTTTTATGATTACAGCAGACTGGAAGATTTGATTCATATCAATACGTTGTTACTTGTCGACTGTGATCGATTTCATACTTTAAACTTTAACGTAGAACAGTCGTTTTAGACACGTGTGTTGCAAATTATGTCATTAGATAACAAGAGTTACCAACTTTACATGAAGCAGTTTTTGAATTTCGAGCAACCTTGTATCCTGCTATTCAATAATTTGGCAACAATCATGTTATAGTGCATGACTGTTTGATGGGGTCGAACACAACTATGGCACATCTTGATGCAATATGCATTCATAATATCGGCTGAAACGCCACACTTATTCTCCACAGATTTGTTTATAGACAGTCTCCCACTTCAATGATTTCGATCAACTACATCCAGTTTCATTCGTAGTCAAGATTCTACAAGATTGTTTATTCAAATGTAAGGTGCCTAGTGGAGAAGCCTACGGATACTTTGGAGAAAAGAAGTCTTCGCTAATGTTCAGGACATCTCCCATTGTCTCCATGGCACTGTTTAAATTCTTAATCCCTAAGATAATTTCCTGGGTTGTTCATCCCTGGACTGACATCAGTTGGAGGAATATTGGAAACCTGAGAGCACTGAGCAGCTGTTTCGTCCTAGTGTGGGACAAAGTTCCAGTGAGTAGTGCTGACTGGTGGGGCAAACCTGGTGGCCATGAGGACAAATACTCGGTGATGACAGTGGGTGACGATCGCGCTATGTTGTAAACTGACATAAGTTGGAAATATGGACCAGTGGATTACGACCCAGTGGCTAGCTCTATGGTAACGTTGTGGACACGGGACCTGGAGGTGGCGGGTTCGATTCAGAGGTCTGGGGTCGTGGGTGCGCACTGGTGAGGAGTCCCGTGTGAGGAAGAAACAGCTGTCCAGTGCATCCAGGTTTTTAATGTTCCTCCAACTGATATCAGTTCATGATGAATGCCAACTTGAAAAAAATCTTAAAATCCCCACAATCCCATAAATTCAATTTACTAGGCGCCTGTTGTGTTGCCTACAGATTAATGTAATCGCATTTGTCACATGTGACTATGACAACTTTTCAAATTGGCATCTTCACATTAAACTTCACTGCAAACAAACATAATCGGAAACACAAACAAATCTCAAATTTCACAGCTACTCATACATTCACTACTTTAGTTGTAAAATACTCATATATATATATATATATATATATATATATATATATATATATATATATATATATATATATATACAGTTCGTAGATCAGGGAAACTCTGAAAAGAAATGCAGGTATGAATTCCCATATAGACATACCTTTTATCACAGAATTTTTCATGATAACTCTATGTTGTTTCTTTTGACAGTCAACATCTGTAATGAATGGGAGTTAATTAAGCATCAAAATATTCACTTACATTTATCAATACTTTTTCTGGTGATCAACAAGTTTTCATTGATTCTCGCTAAGGAAATAAATAGATGACAATGATTAATTTCTTTAATTCCATAGTTGTGTTAACGCTTGAGAACAGCAACTTACTAACCACTAGGGGAAAAAATTATTATGACCAACCGATAGAAAGAGAAATATAAACCTGAAAAAAAGTCAAATTTTCCCGCAAATAGCTTGATATGATTGAAACTAGTGGATTGATTTGAACTAAATATTCACAGTGTGTCAGTGGTGATAGAGATGCAGGGAAAATTTAGTTGAAGCCGCCTAATACAGACAGGCAGAAAATGCAGAAGAACCTTCTGGTACTGTAGTACTCTGTTCTCCTGACGTTAGGTTCCTTTCGAGTGAATACTAAGCATTTAGTCAATCATCCATCAAAATAAGTCTGCTTTATATCACTCAAATACCATAAGAATTGATGCATTACCGATAAGTATATCAATATCTTGCCCTGTTTTCTTCACTTCGTGTATAAACCATGGTAAACTACCTGTGAAAAAAAGAAAATTGTGTCGGCATAATTTCTAAAACCGAATATCGATTATGATGGTAATATTATTACTATTATTATTATTATTTATTTGTCCCTTGTGTTCCCAGTGGAACATAGGGCTTCAGTAGCACATCTCCATTCCACTCTCTTCTTTGCAATCTTTCAACCTGTCTCCACGACTACCTAGAAACTCTCATTTCCTCATCACACGATCTCCTCCATATCAACCTCGCCTCGGATATCCAACTCGCCGTTTCCCATCTAGCTTCCACTCAAGTGCCAGACACGTGATGTCCCACAATCGTCTTCTCATTGTATGCCAATTCAATACATCTACACTTCCTTCAACTGTATATTTGTTGAGCGATAGCTGCTTCTTGCTTCGTTGGTTCGTGGCCAACCAACCAGAGTTCCTTCTTGCTTATTCTTTCTGGCAATCCATGTGAGCTTCAGTAAGGAGCCAGTGTAGGTGGCAGTTGTTGATGAATATGTGTAGTTTGTTGGAAATGCTTTTCGTAATGCGCCAAGTCTCTCAACCATCATCACATAGAAGCACTGACTTACTTGACTGAATTAGTGTTGAAAATCCGGATGTTGTTCACGCTGTATGCTGAGTGTAGTGTCGTGTCGTGTAGTGTAGTGTAGTATAGTGTAGTGTAGTGCAGTGCAGAAGATCTCGACACTGGTTTCAGGTTAATGAACGCCTGTCTTGCTGTCTTTCCGATCCAGGTTGGCCTTGACTTCCTCGTCTGTGCCTGTGGCGTTCGTTGCCTGTAGTTGAGAGGATGCTGCCTGCTAGGTAGGTGAAAGGGGCTACTTCCTTTAAGTTTCTCCATTGATGGTGATTGGAGCTTGTTGTTGTTGATGATGATGATGATGATAATGATGATGATGATGAAAGGAAACTTATGCACGAATGCAAAGGGTCCATTTTAAGAGATCAAATTATCTGCTGATTTTCAATTTTTCACCACACTTTTTTGTTGGAAGTCAACTTACTGATTTCAGTAGATACAGTGACTTGACTCCCTATCATCAAACACAAAGCCTACTGGATTTCATAAATATTAAACATCATTTTATATTCAGGAAAAAATATCACATCACATTTCACATTTGTTCATCAATTTTAAGCAGTATATAAGATTAATAATGTATACAAACATCTTACTGTTCATTTCTTTGAAATGAGATTCGAAGACCTGTAGCGTAGTATCCACCTCTGGAAATAATAATGAATTCAGTTTCAGCAGGATGAAGAAGAATTCACAGAGTAATCTAAGCGAAATATACCCATAATGATTTGACAGAAGAACAAGTATATTTCAGTGAAGAGTCATTTTCGGCGATTTCATTTTCAAAGCTATACAACCACAAATTTGCACATTTTCCTATTGTAAGAATTTGATATAGTTAAAAACGGTTTGTCAGGCATGATAGGCAACACAATTAGTGTCAATAAGTAAGTAGTCATCAAAAAACCAAGAACTGATGAATAGTGAATATTAATCAAAGTAGGTTGTGGACAAGAAGTTTAGAAAGTGAATTGTGATCAGGCAGAGCATAGGGAGAAGAATGAGGAAGAAATTTCATCAGAAGTGGATAGTATCGAAAGAGAGGCATGAAAAGAAGAGAGGAGGATATCAAACGCATCTGACCACTTCTGTGTGTTTATATATCAAGTCATCTGCTCCTGTGAAGCCAGGTATATACGTCGTTTGATACAACTGTTATGCAAAAGGTTTCAAGAACACTATCCCATATAGTTACAAAGAGGTAACAATGGGGCGATAAGGAACGCTAAAACTGAATACATCGTGAACACGAATCACTCTATCTCAACAACCTCCTCCTCCTCCTAAGTCATGTATAAAGTGAAAAGAAATCTCTCAAGGGGTGTATGTGTTAGTATTCTCTGCATTGCGTGTTGTGCACTTGCATTGGTTAAGAATTTGGTTGCGTTCAAACTACACTTTATCATGAATGTGTACATACATATGCCTGATTTACTAGTACATATGTGAGGCTGTGATGTCTATCAGTGACTCCTAGCTAACAGTATTTTTATTATGATTACCGTTATACAAGTTAGTAAACAAAAAGTAAAAACAAATCCCAGTTATGATAGAAGTAGGAACCAGTACACTGAAGCATAGAGGAAAACGACATGCCATCTGAAGCAATAACTACGAAGTGTGACTGTAAGGGGAGAAAACACGTAGCAAGGCGTAGGTAAATTCGGCTAAAGAGTACAAATCGGATGACACATGAATCCTGGATACGTCCGCCACCCACAAACAAACAAAACACCATTATTAAAATGAGGCCTTCAATGTCATTCTACATAATAATATCACTAGATTTAAGGGGAAAACCGTCTAGTTCGGAGAACACAACACCTTCAAAGAAGTTGATTGTACTGTGTGAGGCTTTACTTTCATCCTGATATATTCTATATCCATTTCTTCTTGATTGGCAGTTCGATTATATGTAAATGTGTGTGTGTGTATGTCGGAGAAGTGATGAGATAAGAAGTTAGAATGTTGGTTGGTACTCAACAGCTTAGTGAATAACCCTGTGACAATGAAATCTCAATGGGAAATCTTCACTAAGAGAGGGATATCCAGTTGGACATCCCTTAAAAGGGTTAAATGTACCTATCTACAAGGGGACCAGTTCCAAGTACTATACTGAAAATCAACAGGTGCGTAATAGATGAACTAGCAGAGAAATTGAAAATAGTGAAACCGGAAAACATCTATTTATGCCCAACGAAAGTGAAATGCATGGTCAAAATTATTGGGGGATCAGGTGAACACCGAATAATGCACTGAAGAATAGAATACATTCCTGGCTTATGTATCTAAATCAACCTTGACTCGGATTAGCTGCAAACAAAGATGTTTCAAATAAAACACAAAAATGGAAATAACACTAAAACCATGTCAATAAGATAGTAAGTTCAAGAGACTGACACACACAGACACACACACACACTTCCCATTATGTGTCTGTATAAGTTGTGGTAAACTTGAAGATCATCAGCACACGATGCAGTCTTCACAATTTATTTGGAATTGAGTGGTCTGAGTTGAAGAGGAGAAGCAGTCGTTGACACTATTGATGCTCTCACGTGTAGATGTTGTCAGTGAGATGATATGTTAATCCACCATCGTGACTCACGCACATCATGTCCCCAAATCATCGGAATTCGTGAATACACTTGAATGAATATACACCAACCTACCTGCTAATGCAGCATAACACACTGACTACCTAGATGATTACAACTCCACAATATGCATGAATAGATTCCATGAGGGTTTCAAGGTAGGCAAGTGGTAATCTGCATGCCAGTGAAATGAAGAAATCAATCCTCAGTTATCCTGTATACAGCATGTCCGACCACTGACCGCTGTACCAGTCAGTGCTCCTCTTTCATATGCAGTAGAATATCAGTTGTGAATTACACTGAGGCACGAACAATTTCACAGATATTTTTCTATGAGAGTACTCCACACAAATATCGGCGTACAATTCAATATGCCAGCAAACACAACATCCTAGGATTTGGAGTACTTTCACCGAAAGACTACATGAAATTGCTTCAGTTACTAGTCTGATGTGTGCGTCTTGCATGTACCTCCGACTCATATGTAAATCTGTTTGCCGTTTAGGAGGCACAAGAGGGGCAGTAGAATTCCAGTGTTTGAAACGGTCTCTAGGAGGAAGGTGCTTTTGAATATATATGTTCAGTTGTGTATCTTTTGTAGTTCGAAGTGAATCAGACGATACATCTTGATTTGTAAACACAGACACGATTAGTATTGAAGCGAAGACTGAATAGCCAGCGGCGTTGTAGAGCGTGTGTGGACGAAGGCACGTCTTCCAACGTAAGCAGGATACGTGGTCATTGTGGAGAGAAATCAAGATATCGAATACCTACTTGAGCTGTTAGTCGTAAGGTTGATGAGACAGAGACGTCAGCAGAGTGACCGATAGCAAGGTAATAGTGTCAGGAAGCGCTATCGCTTATAAACCAGTCAACGCACAGCTGGTTATTCCATTACTCCATTATTCCATTGTCAGTGAAATTCACAATACAATGGAACGACAAATACACATTAGCCTATGCAATTGGATCGAACTGGCAGGTTGCCATGTTCTGCAACAGTGTTCAGTGCTCTTGCATGACAATCGAATGTAGACGTCAGGTGTACAAGTAAACTGAGTGAATTTAATTTTAACCTCTAGCACATATACTACTTCCACCAAAATGGTATTCTCGATGGATTAAGGTATATCATAGAAATGAGAACAGCGTAATTAGACAATGAGTGTATTAGAGAGTGAAAAACAAAAACAAATCTTTTATTTTCAGGTCAAAATGTTAGTAATCTTTTATGAGATAAGCTTGCAGGTCACTGACTACACATTGTGCTTTATTAAAATAATTCAGTGAGGGCGGAATCATCCGACAACTGAGTGCATATCGGTGATTAAATCAGTTGGCTGACCTAACAAATCTATTCCTTACTATTTACAATCTCTTACTTCTGTTGCCAATAAAATTCACAATACAGTTGAATGACAAATACACATTACCCTCTGTAATCCTGTATCTATTTGGTGGGCTCTCATATTTTGATTGACAATATCATATTTCATATTTCATACAATAATTGTGAAAGTTCACCAGCTTATAATTCTTCTGTTGACGGTGCTTCCTAATCCCCTATGTTCTCCTATATTGAGATTCATGTGGAAAAATTTCATGCTTGATTCACTTTCTTCGTAACTTGTGAATTTAATTGAGAAGTGTCAGATGCTCAATTCTTGTCCATTGGGATGTAAGGTGTTAATCGTCAAAATTTCTGACGATATCTTGAACTCACCTAGTCTACACCAATACTCGTCATCTCGTGTGACTTCCCCCTTGTAAGCTGGATAGAGTAGAATCTGCCAATTGTGGGTGAAAATGAGAATCCGTGGAGGTTCTATCTGTTTGACGGTAGATGACATAGTTGAAGAGAAATCGAACTTTCAAAATGCATATGTTCTCAAGTAGGTATCTCAACGTTCACATTGCTATCACCTTTACATTTGGATGGGAAACAGATCATCTGTGTGAGTCACATGTTGGTGAGTAGAGATTCTAGATCGAGTGACAAAAGGTGTTTTCCAGATACGTTCAAATCTCTTGTGAAGTCGATGAATTTGAAAGTGTCACGGAGAGAGTGACTGGATAGATGTTTTCTTACTGGTCGACAGATTTCAGAAAGCCATTTTGTAATGTAATGGCATGGTATGATGATTCCAACATATCGAAAATTGGACGGAGTAGTAGGTCAGTTTTGTGAACATCAGGTAAACCATAAAGTCCAGAAATGAATGATCCTGTCGGTCTAAGGTGTTCGGAAAGATCTTGTCTGATTTGTCAGTCATTCTACCCCCGTTTTGTGACTAATTATTACTTCGCATCATACTTGTGAATTGTAAATCTTCATCCAGCTTGATCTTCGTTACTAGGCTGAATTCAATAATCCTTGTAACTATCTAATATAGTTAGACGAAAATGCATAAATCACGATTGTACACTTGTGGAGAATGAAATTGCCAATAAAGATATCTTCTCTGAACTTCTCGTTCTCTCTGACTTACACTCTACCTTTTAAGACTGACTTGTGTAGGGTCTGTAGTACTTTGATGAGCTACTCGGGAACTTTGTGTAATGAGGGATTCGAAGAATTTCGAGTCGAACAATCAGGAAGGTGAGCATATTTTGGATGGAGCGCGTAGCCATGGGCCTTAACCCCCATTGTGCCAAAGTGGATTGTAAATACTTGTCAAAATCATTGCTCATGAACCTTGAATTCCATGAAAATGTAACTAGTGGAGTCCTATTATAGAGGCAGGCAGTCTAGGACCACCGAACCAACCTTAGCTTATCATTTTCTAGTTAGTCGGTCATCATTGTTCAAGTGGAGGAAGGGCTGATGAGCTATCCAACCTCTACTTGAGTTATCCAATTCACCTGCTTCTGAGAATAACTGTTTACCTTGTGTATCTCTACGTCTCGTGATGATTGCTGTTGTTCTCTGCCTACCCACTTTTCTGTTTATGTCAATGTTAGGTGATGTCAGTTCGAAATTTCATTTTGTTATATAGGGTCACCAATAGTAAGTCATTGTAGAAGTCCTTGTCAGTCAGTTAATGTCAGTT